CCCCCCTCCCCAGGGGGGAATTTGGAAAAAATTCAACCATTTTTGGGTGTCCCTGACCATGCCCTTTGATACCTTAAAAGATGAGATTTCATTCTGGGCCCAGTTTCAATGGTAGATGGAACAACCTCTTTATCTCTTAACTGAGTAATTAAAGTCTTCAGAACTGCAGTTTTCAAGCATTTTTATGCCTTGAGATCTGCCAACACTTGAAATTAAAAAGTAACGCATGGACTTCAAAATGTTTACCGGTGCGAATTTCTCTCAAGGCCTTAATATTCTTTTGCTTTCACTACCCTATCTGTTTCTAGACTAACTATGAGGTTTGACCAACTTCCCTCTTGAAACATACAGGTGATTTTCTTCACCGCGTGCACGCGAAATACTTTCCAAAATTAATGTCGAACAATGTGTTGTACGATAAAATTATACGTCGAAGCAAAATTTCGGTAGCGGGTACCTGTATGGAATGGGCTAACTGCGTTTTTATGCCTATCAATGCGTGCCTTGACTAAAGAAGATTAGGTAATATTACCCAAAAACTTTTAAAAAATCTGGGATACACATTTAAAGGCTTCAACACGCGTGCGCCTATTCTTTCTCAAATCACATTAGATCGACTTTCATGATGATACTTATTTGTTTGCTTGTTACACAAGTAAATGCTTACCTCATTTTTGCAGAGCTGCGAGATATATCCAAAATTTAAATTGTTTCACAGAGAAGCTGTCTCACGGAAGAGAACGTAAACTTTACGTTTAGAGCTTTTAAGTTATCGTTCACAACATACTCGTGCGTTCACTTTTTACCGCTCATAATATTAAACGTGGTCACATGTCGTCACGGATCAGTATTCAAACAAATTTCGTTCTAGTCACATTCAATGCAATTCATCACCGATTGGAAAACTCTAGGAATTTTATACCTATTTATATATTCAGTTTATTCTGTAAATACCTAACTGAATTATTCAGGCGATTGTTCTATGATCTGCTCACAGTATATATAATCTGAAAACCTGAAGAGGAGACACAAAGTGAGAACAATTTTATTTTGGAAAAAAAATGTTTAAAAGTCCCTGTAAGCTGAACATGCACACGTTACGAATAAATAAATGCATACAGTAATGCATTGGACCATTAATCATTCTTAATTTCTTGGCCACCTTGAGATTCAATCACTTATCCCTGGAGGAAGCGTACGGAGGGGAAATTCACAAACTTTCACAAATTTTCGAAGCACATTCTGAAATGCAAGGAACAGGATAAGTGAGTTGCTTATTCCTCGATATAAATATAAACAATATTTAAATAACTTTATTTTTTAGTTTTACTTCTAAATTTACGAATCTTGTTTCAGGAGAGCTCACGCTGCTTTAACTTCCAGGACTCAATTCATCAAAAGCGATCATTTTAAAGTGATTCTTTTACGTTGTACGGGAAGTGGTAAGATTTGAAATAAATTGAATGGACGTGGTTTGAATTTTTTCTTCCTAGGTTTTTAAAATAGCAAATAGAGTTAGAATTTTAGGAGACAGACGCGACAGCGATGACAGCGACGAGGGCGCGAATCAGACTGAAAACACGATGAGTCAGTGATTGGATGAGCTAGTGAGCGATGCTGCCCCGCATCGCTTACTCTATGCCGAAAAACATTACTACTCCACGCTGCCAATTTTCACACTTATTCACGATATATACCTGACCATCACACACTTAGCACTCAACTAATTTTAAACATGAGATGCTGGTCTACATCGGGGGTTTATATTTTTAAAAAAAATGATGATTTTTCTAAAAAAAAGTGCGTGACTTACTTTTCACCTTTGAAATTTAAATTCCATCAATTTGCTGGTAAGAACAGCTCAAAATTGTTCCTGAGACGATTCGATTTTTCCGAATTTTCCAAGAGAGGCCCCCAGACCCCTCTTTGAGGCTGGGGAAGTCCCCTGCACCCCCTTGTGAAACTGGATTATTCTTACAAATCGGTTTTAACAGGGTGTTTTTTAGTGTCCCCTAGACCCTCCTGGACAAGGTGTCCTCCCGCAGTGGCGTATTTACGGGGGGGGGGGGGCAGGGGGTCCAGGACCCTCCCCCCTCTGAGCCCCCATGAAAGAGAGATCAAGGGAAAGGAAGAAAAGTCGAGCGGAGAGAGAACACAATGATATTTTCGTCTAGAGAAACGAGTGGGAGCTAGATTCGAAGTCGGACGAAAGGATCGTCGCCTCAGAAGCCTCATTTTTTCTTCAGGAAGTTAGTGGATTTTTCCAACTTATACTTAGAACAAAACATCCCATTTGGTCTTGTGTAAACGGTTTTCCATTTTTTGAAGGTCCTTTTGAAGAAAAATAGTATAAAAAGCGGGGTGTTACGGGGTTAAAATACTGAAAATTTTCCGAACCCCCGCTGCACCTGGAAGGTATTCCATACCCCCCNTTTAAAGATTCTGTATTCGCGCACACTGAGAAAAAATCCCAGCAATTAATTGAAAATGTTTTAAACAGAATTAATGTTGATAGCCGTGTTTTACAAAGAATCTACTGTTTTTTTTATGGTAAGACTGTAGTTTTGATGGAAAGTTTTGCTAAAAATTTTCTACATTAAATGTATAGATATTCAAGTAGAAAGGAAGGAGAGAGAAAGAGAAAGGAGGGTAGGAAAGGGGTAAAACTTGAGGGCCGAAACTTAGGCCTCCCCTGAGCGACCGTCCCCTTCGGGGCCGGTCTCCGACATTTTCCACCTCTGGGCACCCCCAAGCATGAATGTCTAGAACCGCCTATGGCTGTGACGTAGCACTAATCGTCGCCCCTCTAACGTAAGGCGGCGTATCTCAATTTCTACGTGACGCCTATTTTGCATAATAATCCATACTTTTTAGGGCTCATGCGGGAACAGATGTACGTTCTCACGTCAAAGGAGGGACGTAATAGTTCCGTTTTTGATGAGCAGTGAATGAGCGTAGTGGCGCAACGTGAACCGTCGATTATCGATATTATCCCATTTGGGGCTATTGTGAAGAATCGATTATCAAGACGTCCTTTTCAAACACCATTATATTCGATCATTTTCCATGGGCAGAGATGGTAGATAAATCGATTCATCGCAAAGCACGACACACCACTGATTGTGCAATTTGACCATTTTGAACAATTGGACAACGGCGCCAAGGGGAGGACGGCACCATTTGTAAACACAACGGAACACACACCATCACCATCACCATTACGATGAGCACAGCTATGACAATAGGACCGTTTATTAACGGAAGGGCATAAGCACCAAAATCGCGTGAGCCTGGAAACTGTCATCGAGGACTGGAACCGAGGATCAAGGGGTTAGGACCCGGGGCCCTTATTCGTTACCTTCTTTGTAGGTAGTCAGAGTTGGTCAGATGGACGTATATTGGAAACTAAATTAAAGCAAAAGGAACTATGGAGCACGTAACCCCTTTGTACATAGTTTTTTCCTCTTTTTAACCCATTTACACTTAGTTATTTTTAGCAAATACGTCTGAATGTTCCCAATCGTACATTCGCGATTATCCGAAAGGGGATTTCGCCGACCATGAACCACGGTTCCGCGACATCCGTCATTATTGCCGCCTCGCGCGGAGTTGAGCAGCATACTCTCTGCGAAAAAATTGTAAAAAGCCTTATAGGTGTCTAATTTCAATCAAATTGTCTGAACATTTTTGGGCGCACATGAAGTTTTTGATTCGAAAAAAGTTTCTTTTCATACGAAAATTTCTCTAAAATTAAAATAATTTTACTGACGAACTAAATTTCCATCAAATTTAAAAATACAAATTGCCAAATAAAAAATAAATAAATAAAAAAAAAATCGCACCAAAAATGACTCTTCGTTATTATTGCATACATTTTTTTTTTCTGTGCCCTTTTTGAAAAAAATTTTCTGGATTTTCCTCGCTATGATGTTCACAGATAATGTCATAAAAAATTAATGAGGGTTGGAAATTTCGAGACACTGGAATCGAGATACAAGTTTTTGTAGTTTCACCGTCAAAATGTTCGTATGGAATATTGGAACAAGTATTGTACCGCAGTCAAGTTACGCCTCTTGGCCTCTTTAAATGTATGAGTCTCTTCCTCCGTCTGGCAACATAACATGGGGCAATGCGGTTGCACGGCCTTCCTTCTCAATCTGAGGACTCAAGGTAAAGTCACGGATTTTGCTATAATTACGGGTTGGCTAGACATTTGACCGTTTCTACCCTTATTATCAGGCCTCTCTTTGGTTCTAATCACCGACAAATTTCATCGGGCACAGCAACTCAGTTCGTGGACGTATTCATAAAAACGTCAAACTGTGTTGGAGTGTCTAGAGCAAGCACATTGTTTTGCCAAAAAAAAAAAGTATTTTCTGCTAAATTCGGACTATATCGACGATGCAACTCCAAAACCAAGTTTCTCGTTTCCGATGTTTTTAAAATTTCCGTTTTCAATTTATATATTTGAAGGAGAATACCTAAATCAACATCATTCCTGAAGTTTCCACGGAGTTATCTTCACGCGTACAAGAAAAAGCACGGAAACTTTAAGGAATTGACGTTGAGTAGTTTTCCATTCAAAAAATGAAGTATGGCAGGAAGTTTGCAACGTAGCAAACCGAGATACGTGGTTTGGGAGTTTCACCGTTGAAAGGCGCTTCATTTTTCAATTGGGGACTACCCTCTCCGCCTCATCTGTAAAAAACACTTACGTGCATAGGAAAATGAATGGTACATACGTTGTTTTTAAACTGAGTCTAACATTTTAGTTCCAAATTTCAACATGCAGTTCATTTACCCTTCCTGTCAATACGTTTCACAGTTCCTAGAACCGAGAGAGCGGTTAGATGAACCGAACAGCACGGCCAATATTGCTTACCTTACTGACGGTTCGTATACATAGAGTACAGATGAACCATACTCCACCATACCAGAACATACCATAGAGTACTCTATGTTCGTATATCATCAAACTTTCTTCTAAGTGTGATATAGGATTTCATGTCTAGTGGTAATAAATAGGAGGAACTCATATTGCATTCCAATCCTTATGCAATTTGTGAATTATGAAATTTGCAAGTGCTGCTACGATCTGCTTTAAAAAATGCAGGAGGATGAATTATTCATGACCTCGGATTCGCATTGGGAATTCGGCCTTCTTGTTATTCGCTATTAAACCAACCGAAATTGAAAGTTCTCATTAAAATACGATAACTGCTTCTCACTGGCCTTCCAGTTAGATGATATTCTCTTCCTCCACGAACGTGTGAAAATGTCGAGAAGTGTTGCATGTCGGGCAAGTTTTGGCACGGTTGCGACATTCCGTTCACATTTTCGCCCGAAACCCGCAATTTGACGGTTTCCATTGAGAAACGATACTATACTCGCGGAATTTCAAAATTTTGACGAAAACTCCGATGTTTAACCCTTTTTAGTCCGAAGGGGCCTTGGACTGATGAAATTCGGATTCCTTGGGGATGGCTCTCAACTCATTCTAGCTATCCTCGACCTAGCCTAAAGAAAAGTCTGGTACAGGGGGAAGGGGGGGGGGGTCTTGGATACCATGTATATAATATAAGTATGTTTAGGAACGCCTCACGGAGGAGCTATGGAATTCGTCCGTCTTTTTTTTCTCTTTCTCCGTATGATCGCCAGCTAGAAACCGGATGAGTTAACAAATCGAATGACGCAAATAACAAATTAGTAAATTATGTTGATGCAAATAAGAACGTGCTAAGTGAATGTTCAAAACCCCTTTAAAATACGGAGCCCATTAATGAGATATAGTCGGGATTAAAATTTATTGCAAGTCACATGTGTCGTCTGGAGCTAGTTGCTGTTATTTGCGCTAGAGTGGCAGGCCAGCTAAAGATATTCTCCGACATCCAAATAATCTTCGGGCAAGACGTAAACACACTGAACAGTCATTGATCTTGAAACGGAGAGCCGGCGTGCGGTCCGGTACTGCGGCTCTGAAGCTACATATCAGCGGCATCAAATACAATTTGAATGTTCCAGCGCGCAAAACTAGTGGCTATGGGTTTTTTGGGCAGTTGAGCTGTAATTATCTGCTCAAGGACTTGTCTCTTGTCTACGAATCTCGCCTCACAGTCAACGGACCACAAACGCGGTCAGAAAACAAGCGTCGCAGGACATGTTTACTGTTTTCTCGTAAAAATTACACTTTCAGTAGAGTGAACTAGTCGAAATTCTTCAATTTTAACCAAGAAATGAGAAAAAAGCGATTTCGGTGTGGTCGATTCACACTTCCAACTCGCTGAGAGAACCAAAATCTACTTGAATCAAATCGGACCCTGAAACTAATTTCAGTAACTGTTACAATGAAATAATTTTTTCAACGTTATGGCTTTTTTTTGCCAAGTTTATGATACGAATCAATATAAAATATCCTCTCTATTCTAATAAAATAATTTTTAAGACGGTCGATGGACGGGTTGAGGAAGGGGAGTTCAAAGGTCAGAATATTAATAGAGTGGGTCTTTAATTTCAGAGGCCTTTGTTTAGTCATGGACAGCTATATGTGCCCCTGTCAGGGTCGACTTTCAAAAAAG